AGATGCTTCTGTCCTGGGTTTCTAAATGCTCTGGACTCTGCTGCTCACTTCCCAGGATGACTGTGTGATGGTGATACCACAGGAATATCAAGACCCATCCACTGGCTGTGAAGATATACAGGCAACCTGGTCATCTGCCTGCACTTCCTAACACCACCAACAACCAAATAATTCACCACCAAATCAACTCACAAGCAGATTACCCCTGGATTTGCATGAACAGGATGGGGTGTGAAGAAGACAGGGACAGGGAAGGGATCTGAGCCCTGGGCTCGGCACTGGGGAGGCCGCCCCTCGATTCCTGGGTTCAGTTTTGGGCCCCTCACCCCAAAAAGGCCATTGAATGACTCGAGCGTGGCCAGAGAAGGGCAACGGAGCTGGGGCAGGGTCTGGAGCACAGGTCTGCTGGGGAGCGGCTGGGGGAACTGGGGGGTTCAGTCTGGAGAAGAGGAGGCTGAGGGGAGACCTCCTGGCCCTCGGCAACTCCCTGCCAGGAGGGGGCAGAGAGGGGGGATGAGTCTCTGGAGCCAAGGCCCCAGCGCCAGGCCCCGAAGGAATGGCCTCAAGCTGCCCAGGGCAGGGTCAGGCTGGCTCTGAGGAAGGATTTCTCTGCAGAAGGGGCTGATATAAATTCTCCAAATGTACAATGCTCCCAGACTTCAGACATCCCAAGATGCACCATCATAGGAAAAAACATAATCCAGCCTGGAGGTGGATTAGCAGTTGGAGGTCAAGCCTAGAAAGAGGGTTTACATGTGCTCTAACATGAGACCTGATCTCAGACTTCCTCCACAGTCCAAAGAAGGACCTAGATTCATCTCATTAGGTTCCCATCCCTTAGGAGAGACCCATGCATTTAATTTAGGTGCTTGAAAGATTCTGAGACCTTTGGATATGCTAACCAAAGTGAAAGTCACGGCCCAACATGCCCTCACTGTGAAGTACCCCCTGCTAGTCACTGTGCGGGGAGTTTGTATTTGGAGTCCCACCACAGACATGTGCTCAAAGCAGAGGTACAGGGTCCATGGGAGAGATGGAGAAATAGCTTTTCTCTAACTCCTGCCATTGTGTTCAGACAGAGAATGGGAAAGTGTTAAAGAAAAACTTTAAAAGTTGAAAAATAAAGAACAAGCAGGAAGAAAAAAAATGGAGACAAAGACATGCTTATGGGGGAATTCCTGAAAAAATGTGAAATCAAACCTGGAAATGTGGCATTGGAGGGTACTACAGAATCCCAGAATCATTCAGGTTGGAAAAGCCCCTCAGGATCAGCGAGTCCGACCCTCAGCCTGACTCTACAAAGCTCTCCCCTACCCCACATCCCCCCACAGCTCATCCCAACGGCCCTGAAACCCCCCAGGGATGGGGACTCCCCCCTCCCTGGGCAGCCTGTTCCACTCTCGGACCACTCTTGCTGGGAAAAGGTTGGTTGGTTCGTTTGTTTGTTTGTTTGTTTTCCTAATGTCCAGTTTGAACCTCCCCTGTTGCAGTTTAAAGCCATTCCCTCTTATTCATGAACCAAGGTGAACAGGAGACACCAAAGGTTTGCGTTTTACTCTGCAAACCCCTCATCACAAGTGTGTTCACTGAGGAAACAGATCCCTGTGTCACTGTGATTTCCCACGTGGATGCTGTGTCTGTGAAGAAGTGTCAGGGAGTTCTAGAAAGGGACCATGAAGGGAGTGCTTGTTGCGGGGGGACAGGTCAGACACAATGCCAAAGGAGGCTGCTGGCGCAGGAACCACTTATGGGCTTGAGCAGAAACTGGGGTGTTGGATCTGGAGATCTTCCAGCTGTCTCCACCTGGGAACAAATTTGGCACGTTTACAAATTGTACAATGTACAAATTACAATTCCTCCATGATTTTGCATGTCCAGCACACAGCTTTGCTGTTGGAAAACACCATCAACAATAACCACAGCTGGGTGTTACCATATCCAACAGATAAGCCTTGGAAATTTAAGATTTGAGTGTTTCCCTTTAAATAAAGCGCAGTCTTTGATTCACGTCCTGAACTATTCAAAGCTCGGGAGCTAGCTGCCTTTCATTCTTTGGTGCTTCTTCTATGATCGGGCAGCAAATGAGCTTGAAACAAATCCTGGCTGGAGGGAGCTGAGCCAGATCCTTGCAGGAGAGGAGAAGGGCAGCTGTGAGAGGCTTTGATTCACCTGTGTCTTTCTAACCACAGCATCCCCCTGGGTACCAATGCCAGAGTGATCCCAGGGGGATATAGGTCTTGATGTCAAAACCAACAGAATCCAGAAGTGCAAATGATTTTAAAGACTGAATCCAAGTCGTTTGTGCATGGCTGGTAAACATCCAGCATCCCCCTGAAGGTAATCAGGAGTGAAACAACGGTCCTCATTCATCAAATCCTCCTACCCCACCTCTCCCACGCTTGCCCAACCACCTCTGCCCCACACTGAACAAGAGACCTTGTGTGCGAAACTAAATTCATCAGCCCCGAAGCCTCCTCCAGTGTTGGAAGCAGCCTGTCGAACTCCAGGTGCTATGCAAGAAATGTTTCTTTTGCTGAGTGTTGGGCCAAGAGCATGAATGGTGTTGCCTTTGGGCAGCCCTGTAGCTGGATGTGCAAAGAGATGTGCACTGTGGGAAAGACAGCTCCATGCTTAAAGCAAGGGTTGCTTAGTCTGAAGGAGGCTGAGGGGAGACCTCCTGGCCCTCTACAGCTCCCTGCCAGGAGGGGGCAGAGAGGGGGGATGAGTCTCTGGAGCCAAGGCCCCAGCGCCAGGCCCCGAGGGAATGGCCTCAAGCTGCCCAGGGCAGGGTCAGGCTGGCTCTGAGGAAGGATTTCTGTGCAGAAGGGGCTGTTGGGCGTTGGAATGGGCTGCCCAGGGCAGGGGGGAGTCCCCGGGATCCCTGGAGGGGTTGAAGAGTCGGGCTGAGCCAGCGCTGAGGGATCTGGGGGAGTTGGGAACGGTCAGGGGGAGGGTCATGGTTGGGCTGGAGGAGCTGCAAGGGCTTTTCCAACCTCGATGATTCTGGGATTTTTTTGAAAATCTGGGGATCCACATTGGAGAAGGCTCATCAGTCATGGTCCCATGGCGCTAGGGGCTACAAAAACACAAAGCAAGAACCTGTTCCTGCCTGGGGTTTATGACAGACTGATCAGAAGGTGGGAGATGAGACAAGGATGCAGAAAGCTACTCTGTGGCTGTGAGGACCATGTAGCCTGCCTGGCCATGAGATCCATCTCTGCTGGATTGGATTTGAGCTGGGGTAATCACAGGGGCTCTGCCCTGCTTAGGCACAGCTGGCAAAGAGCAGCTCAACACCCTGGGGTACAGCCCTCCAGGCAGATTATCTGTGCAGGGAGTGAGAAGATGTCTCTGTGACTCTCTACAAAGTACTCAGCATCCTGGAGAAGTAAACCAGCACAAACCAGTGGTGCAGGATGCCTGGCTCTGGTTCTACCCCAGATTTGCTCTCTGTGCCTCAGTTTCCTCCAGTCTTAAGCCAGGTCAATCAGCATTGCCTGGCTTCATAAAATACCTGGACATCTGCAGATGCAGATCTCGTGATGAGTCAGATCTTTCCTTGTGTGACTCAGCTTGCAGCTGCTGAGCCCCACAGCACCGTGGCCATCTCCCATTGAACAGCTACGGAGCCTCCCCTGCTCCAGGATCTGTATTTGCTATTCCTACTGCAGCAATGCAGCCACAGACATCTCTTGAGTGGTGACTATTCCCACAACTAAATAGTTCTGTGAGTTTCTAGACCCATTTGGGAAGACCAGGAAAAAAACCTTTCCAGATTAAACACTTCTATTAGCAACTTCTGTCTGCCATCCCGAGGGACCTGGGCAGGCTGGAGAGGGGGGACCCTCTGAACCTCAGGGAGGGCAACAAGGCCGAGGGCAAGGTCCTGCCCAGGGGTCGGGGCAATCCCAGGCACAAATCCAGGCTGGGCCAGGAGGGGCTGGAGAGCAGCCCCAAGGAGAAGGACTTGGGGGGCTGGGGGTGCAAACTGCCTGTGAGCCAGCACCGTGCGCTGGCAGCCCAGAAAGGCCCCGTGTGCTGGGCTGCACCCAGAGCAGGGGGGGCACAGGGCCAGGGGGGGATTCTCCCCCTCTGCTCCGCTCTGGGAGACCCCCCTGCAGGGCTGGGTCCAGCTCGGGGGCACCAACAGCAGAAGGACACAGACCTGCTCCAGCGGCGCCAGAGGAGCCATGGAGATGCTGGGGGGGCTGGAGCCCCCCTCTGAGGACAGGCTGGGAGAGTTGGGGGGTTCAGCTGGAGGAGAGAAGGCTCCGGGGAGACCTTAGAGCGGCCTCCCAGGGCTGGAAGGGGCTGCGGGAACGGGGGGAGGGACTCGTCATCAGGGGGGAGGGATAGGATGAGGGGAAATGGTGTTAAACTAAACAGGAGATTTAGATGAGATCCGAGGCAGAAATTGTTCCCTGTGAGGGCGGTGAGGCCCTGGCACAGGCTGCCCAGAGAAGCTGTGGCTGCCCCCTCCCTGGAAGGGTTCAAGGCCAGGTTGGACGGGGCTTTGGGCAACCTGGGCTAGTGGAAGGTGGCCCTGCCTGGGGCAGGGGCGTTGGAACTGGATGATCTTTAGGTTCCCTTCCAACCCAAACCAGTCTGTGATTCTATGACTCCAATACAGGGGTCATCACATCTTCCTCAGTGTGTTATGAATTAATATAACCTCTAGTTTGTGTGATGATGTAAGAGACAGACAAAGGCCAGGGTCTATTTATGTGAAGTGGCCAAACTGCTGCCAATGCCCACAGTGGCTAATTTAACTATAGGAACAGCCAAAAGGCATTTCCACACACCCCCTCCCCATCCCATCCCAATTACCTGTCAAAGCCTTCAGGTTCCTGGTGGCCAGGACACCAGCTGAGCGTAACAAGACTCAGCCACATGCACAGCTCCAACCTTGCAAGATCGGCTGTGTCCAGTGGCCTGAGGGCGATTTGCAACAGAGAAGCAAAGAAGAAATGTTTGCAACAGCTGGATGGGGTTTTTTTGTGCTTTCAGTGAAGCAGCAGCTGTGGTTAATTCTAAAATGGGAAATAGAGAAAAGTTCATTGGATGATTGACAGCTTTCCTACCTCCAAGTTATAAAAGAAGGAAAATGGCAACCTAACGGCAGCTTTTGCTTCTAAAATTAACATAATTCTCCCTGACGCAAGAATGTGGCTCTGCAATACCAGCAGCACAAACCCCAGTGATCTGGCAGGACAGAGATCTGACCCTGGAAAAGTCTTTAGCGTGTGGATGCAGCCCATTGACATCCGGAGCGAAATGCTGGCAGCCCCTTCTAAAGATTACACTAGCAGGCATTGCTCTGCAAGAATGCATCGGGGTTGCATCATGTGAGCCCCTTGAATTTTCCAGAAATCCTGCCTGCCGCCTCTTTCCTGCCAAGTTTTCACTATAGAGTAGCTAGGAAATACATACTGCAATTCCCTGCTGGCGTATTTTAAACAGGCAGGAGTATTTAGGCTAAGCATACTGTGTGGGGTTTGATGTATGGGGACATATGAAATATGTCACTTTATGGTAAGGGTCCACGTGCAGAACCAGTATTCTGGGATACAGAAAACTTCAGATCAAGAGAAATAGACGATTAAATGTATTAAACATCACGTGTGACCTGTGTATCTTTCATGCACTGCAAAATGACATCCAAAGTGGCATTAAAGTTGCAAAAAGCACTAAAAAGCTTGCAAAGGGCAAATCAGTTCAACTGAGCAACTTTTGCTTGAGCTCAACCACTTTTATGACACTTTTATAAGTGCAAAGAAACCCTCAAATGTTTTCTCTCGGTTCTTATCAATGCACGCTCAATCCTTCACCGGCTGGTCGCCTGGCTTTAGAGACTGCTCTTGGGCTTCTGCAGACACATCCTAAACTGCCACAAGGGTTATCCTCCTTCTGTGGGCCCACGTGAAGGGACCCGGCTGCTGTGACATTGGCCTCCCAGGTGGCTGCATCGTGGCACCCCAAAGATGCAGCGACTCACATCTAGACCCGAAGAGGTCTGGTCCCACCAGATCTGCACAACAAGGTTGGGGCAACAAAGAGCCCGTGGCCCCCTGGACCCTGGGAAGGATGAAGCCCCTTTTCCTGTTGTGTGGCTCTGGGCAGCTTTTCTGTTGCCTCTGTGAGAGTGGAAAAGACAAGGAGGCTGCCAAGCCCCTTCCTAAGCATCCCTTTGCTTACATATCTGCAGCATGTGGGTGACAAGGAACATACACGCTGTTTGCTTCTGCTGGACCGCTGCCTGGTGCAGGGGGGGTGCTGAGCCCGGCATGTCTTTCCTCAGATTCATCCTTTCCTGCCTTAAAACTGCTGCATCAAGCGCCCGAAGTCCACAAGGCAGGCAAAACACCAGCCCCAGCCTTGTCCTACATTCAGCTCCCCCCTCCCATCCCATCAGCATCATCAGTTTTGCAGTTTGGCTTGTTGGGGACCTCATTTCCAACAACCAAAGCACTTGGAGGGACACTGGAAAGATTGGTGAGACGGGCTGTTGTGTAACTTGTGTGCCTACACACGAGCAGGAATGCACACACGTGCACATGCGTGCAGACACTGAACCCACCCCGCTGCAGCGCAGCTCTGTGCTGGAAGGAGAAGATTGGCTGGCGGAGGATCTCTCTCCAAGCAAGGGCTGGTTTTAGGGGCGTTTCTGTTCCCTCAGCTGGCTCCAGAATAAATGGTTTCCTTTTCCATCCCATTTCCTTAGAAGAGGCCTGAAACGCTGCTGCGCTGCGGGGTGGGGGTGGGGGGGCATGTGGGTCTGTGCCTCCTCTCAGCTTTCTGACAGCTTCAGCCAAATTTAAAGGAGAAGCAGACAGCTCAAACCTTTTCAATTCCATATGCTTCTTGAAAACAGGCAGCCAGAAAGAGACAAGGAAGAGCCTTAACGTCACAGCAGACGAGGACTCAGCTTTTAACGAGACATCAGAGATTCTCCCTTGCAGCCCCACTCTGTGCATGGCTCTGAGCAGAACAACCTCCCTGGTCCTGGACCTTCTCTGCTCATATCTTGTAATAAAGGGTCAAAAACTGGAAATGGCACATTCCTCGCTGGCTCAGGCTCCTCCTCACAGTGGGGAAACTGAGGCTACAGCATCCCAAATCACTCCCTGCTCTTGAGACAGCCCTGGCGTTCGTGGGGCTGACGTGGCTGAAAAACTAATCACTTTCTTTTTCTTTCGGTTAACTTGCGGGTGGATCCAGATGGTGCCAGTCCCTGCGAGGCAGAAGGGAGAGAGGGAGGGAGGAGACACAGGCCAAGGCAGCTCATCCAAGCAGCCTGGAAAGGGCATCCCGGAATCCTGACTCCTGTTGCTTTGCCATGACCCCAAACCAGAGCTCCTCTATCAGTGTAGAAAGAGTGTGGGACCCAGCAGCCACGTGGGTCCTCCCAGCTTGCTGCCCAGGGGTGGCAAACTCCATCCAGACATCCCCAGGACCCCGTCTCCTCCCACCTGGCCAGGCTCCTGGGAAGGTAGGGGGTGCAGGGGTTTGCAATCCGACCCGTCGCCCGCGCTGGACCTCCGCCGAGGCCACGCAGATGTCATTCTTTCCACCCAAAAGCCCCAGAGGAATTTCCCCCCGCCTCGATGTGTTGGCAAGGAGACCCTGTGGATTTTGAACTTTTCTCTGGGAGTATTAAACAGGGATTACAAACCGGGATCAAGGGAGCCTCTCTCCTCTATGCCCTGTGAGAAAGCTGCAGCTGTGGCCTCGCTGGCCTGTCCTTCCTTGTTTGTGCATCACACCATACCTGCGTGATACCACGGGTGGGGAATTCCCCCTTCTCCGGGGCAATTACAGTTTTCTAAATCTCCCTTTTTCTCCTCCATCACATCTTCTGAAGAAACAAAAGGTGACCAGTGCTTTGCAGAGGAACTTGCACCTTTAGGGCATATAAACCCAGGCTGTGACCTACAGGAAAGCCAGGAGCTGGCATCCTCAACTCCAGGCACAGCAGGCTAGCAGAGATAAATTTGGCTCATCACTGCTGCAGACCAGACAGGCCAGGGCACAGATCCACGGGACACTCAGCCTTTCAGCTTCACTGCCATCCTTTGTGTGCTGTCTATTCAGACAAAGCTGGTCCCTTCCAGCTCCAGCCAAACCAGGACCTGGGCATGGCTGCCAGCCAGAGTGGGGGAAAAGGGCTGCGATTCTGCCCGAGTCTGAGACATCCCTGCCTGCAAAGCCATTGCCCTGTGACGCCTTGAGCTGCATGAGTGAGTTCAGAGTGGCAAAGGAGGATGCTGCAAGGGGAGAATTAAAGCACCAGTCTTGAACCTGCCCTTGAGTTGAGCAGAGAAGCAGAATCGCCCCAAAGCCTTTGCCTGTAGGTACCCAGAGAACCAGGCGAGCTCTGACTAGTTCTGGTTGGGGAACCCCTCACCCAACACACGCGTGATTTGCCTAGAGGTGAGGCCATGGTGTTTGAGTGCTGTTGGGAACTCACCTGAGCCTGAAGTCACGCTGCCTGCCACCGTCCCCGGCTCCCACGGCTCCTCGTGCAGCTCTGGGAGATGATCTCAGGCTGGATCCCTCCATCAGCTACAGCTGCTTCCAGGCTCCATCCAGACTCATCTGCTCTGCTACAAGGAGAGATTTGGCTGATGAAACTGAGACACACCAAGTTCCTCAGCAATCCCCGCTGGATCAGCGGTAACGCTGCTCCTGGGGCTGCCCTGGGAAGCCCTAAGGAATGCTCTGGGGAGGGCTGAATTACAGAATTTTGATTTGAGAAGGTTTGAGCTGACCTAGGGAGGGTTTCTTTAAGGCTGGTTCACCTTCTCTGGCCATTCTTGCTCAAAACCATGCTCAGCAGATGCGGGCAGGAGAAGCGAGGAGTGGTCCGGAGGCGGGGGAACATTCACATCAGCGCCCCGTTTGTCACACCCTTGCCGGCAGATGTGATAATGCTGTCACCAGGATGGGGGACACAATGGGGACGTGCAACTTTGAGAATCTGACTGTATCAGGGAGTCTCCCAGGCTTGTTGCATCCTCTGCAGGAAGACTAGATGCATTCAAGGTGGAGGCTGCAATGATCGGCATCACCTTTGCTGCCCCCACTGTGATCTTTGAAAACCCCAGTTTTTAATCACAGAATCATCGAGGCTGGAAAAGACCTTGAAGCTCCTCCAGCCCAACCATGACCCTCCCCCTGACCGTTCCCAACTCCCCCAGATCCCTCAGCGCTGGCTCAGCCCGTCTCTTCAACCCCTCCAGGGATCCCGGGGACTCCCCCCTGCCCTGGGCAGCCCATTCCAACGCCCAACAGCCCCTTCTGCACAGAAATCCTTCCTCAGAGCCAGCCTGACCCTGCCCTGGGCAGCTTGAGGCCATTCCCTCGGGGCCTGGCGCTGGGGCCTTGGCTCCAGAGACTCATCCCCCCTCTCTGCCCCCTCCTGGCAGGGAGTTGCAGAGGGCCAGGAGGTCTCCCCTCAGCCTCCTCTTCTCCAGACTGAACCCCCCCAGTTCCCCCAGCCGCTCCCCAGCAGACCTGTGCTCCAGACCCTGCCCCAGCTCCATTGCCCTCCAAGACCCAACCCTGCCATGTGCTGTGCTCCCTCCAGGAGACGTTCAGCACCAGGATGGTGTCTCAGCTGCTTTGCAGTGCCAGACCCATGCTGGCTCTGAGCACCCCTGCCTTCCTCATCTGCAACACAGAGAAACCCCAGGGGTAACTGAGCTACCCAGAAGAGGAGGTGAGGCTCATAATCTCCGAGGCTCATGAGGATTTACAAAATGTGCAGTAGAGCAGCGTGGTTCATCTAGCTCTACTCCACCAGTGACCATGGAAGAGGCAAGCACCTTTAGGGCAAGCAACTGGTTCCAGCTTGCCTGCACTCCATTGCGTTTGTGTCACCCCAGCACCCAGACCTGCTGGATGAGGGATGCTCAGCATATATCCCCATTAGTATCTATTTATGGCACTAATTAGTCTAATTTGTCTAATCCTTTTAGATTAGATCCCACCTGCCTCCTGTGGATGCAACTGAGTGATAAAGGACTGCCCAGGATCTGTTTTAAAATGATCTGCTAGCTTCTACCTAGCTCCATGCTCTTAACTATGGGATCTGGTGAACAGCTTTAATCCTCTGCCCCACTAAATCTGAGAGTTACAGGAAGGGACTAAATATCTCTCCTCTACAAATTGACTTCATTGCTATCCTTGCTACAGACCGTGCTTGATCCTGGAAAGCAGAAATCCTGCTTCATGGCAGGACTGTCACTGACACAGGAAAACAAGGGTCAGCCTCCTGGGTCACTGTAGCCTCCAGGAAAGGGTGAATGTACAAAGCTGCTGCTGCAGTTTATATTTAAAAAGTTCTGTCCAAAGAGCCTGTTAGACTGCAGTGTTTGCTTTCGCTTGCTTTTGTAGAAATAAAGCGCTCCTTTAACATATAATTAGGTGAATTACTAACACTGCTTTAAATAAGACAAGCCAAATGACCACGACAGCATCAGTCCAGATGTTTTACAGCTGGGCATGGGTTGTTTGCCTCAGAGCTGGGGGTTGGACTCCCGATACCAGTCGGATTTCACTGTCCTCCACCCCAGCAGCTCCCCCACAGCCAGCCCAGGTGCTGCCACAACAGGCTGCAAACCTCCCTCTGGTTTGTCAGGGCGTGTAGGATCAGACCCATACCACAGACTATATGCTTTCTTACTTTTAATTAAAGTACGTTTTAGCTCAGTAGATCTGTAGCCCCCTAAATCCAAAGACTCCCCAGGGAGCGTAACCACACTCGAAATAACCCGTGACCAAAGAAACGCGAGTTTTGCCCTATGCACAAGAGTGTTTTAAAGCTGGAGGGGAGGAGTTGTGCTGGAGAAGTGGATGTGTCTTTTGGCAGCTGGGCCCTCTCATTAAAGGAGCAGAGAAGACGGAAGAAGGCAACTCCCAGTATCGCTCCCCCTTCCCAGACCTCTCCTCCCATCCCACTGCTGTAGGATCTCCTACGTGGCACTGTGGGGGCAGGGAGAGCTGGCCAGAACGCCTCTAAAGTCCAATTGCACTTGGAAATCACTTGATGGGCAACAGAAATCTCCCCCCTGCGATGCAGATCAAGCCCAATTCCTAGCACTTTTGCCCTGGAAAAAAAATGTTCCTGGTCAAAATTAAGCCTTTTGGTGGGATTTACTCATTTTTCGCACATTCTAAAGCCCTGCAGATTTATTATGGCTGGCTTAGAAAGCAATGCACTCAGGATTGTGTTGTCTGAGGGGATGAATTAACACCGTGGGGAAGTTAGCAACGGGAGGAATAGGTTGGAATACACCCACAAAAATCAGGCAAAAATTTGAGATGTCTTCATGCCAGGCTGCCTGTGCTCAAACACAAAGAACTACTTTTATTCAACTCCAAATTCCCATTATTGAGGCAAAGCCATTTAAAAGGACTGAAGCACAGAACCCTGCGCTTGTATCAAAGGAGTTTGGTGCTAGGAGGCATTGAAAGAGATCATGATTAAAAGTTTTAGAGTTTAAATTTCACTAGGAAGAAAAAAAAAACCTTACATGGGAAGTAATTACACGGAAGGGTTTGAAGGTGGAGCAATTCAGAGCTTGGCAGAGAAAAACAGCTGACACTGGAAGTTTAAAGGAACTTTTCTCATTTCTCAGCTGGTACATGCTGCTGGTACAGACCAGTAACATCTCGCATGTGTATTCATTGTTTGCTAAGAGCAAATTCATATTTTACTATGGCAACGTATTAATAAATCAAAGATTGTGCTAGAAAAACAATGAGGCTACATTCTGATCATTTATGCAGACACAAAGCCCAGAAATTTGCTCCAGATATACGCTAGGGTACACGAAAATATGATGCTCAAGGTATTTCAAACCTCTCTCTCCCACTGAAACCCTCCCAGAAGGAAGCTGATCTCTGAACATCAGGTTGTGAAGCCATTAGGACTATTTAGGCACATTATCATTAGAGACTGAAGTGTAAAGTACCTTCCAGGATGCAAAATGTCCAGTGAAGATGGCAGCTGGCAACATTTTGTTCAGGTCTTTCTTTCTCCACACACACCACTGAAAAAAAAAAAAAAAAAAAAAAACTTCATGCGTGGCACCCAAAAGGTCATCCAGTGAGTGAGACCCCTTGGCACTTTTCCCCTGTAACAGCTTTTGTGCAAATAACACGGCGTGGATCAATTCAGCCATAATAAAGGCTACTGGGAATAACTGAAGGGGACAATCTTTCTCACAGATAGAAGTAAACACCTAGTGACCAGAACAAACCTCCCGTTATCTGCTATCGCTGATATCAAGGTCTTGTTGCAGCAAAACATGCTGTGAGCAAAATCATCGTAGAAACACGCATTTTGTTTTGCTATTAGAGTTCTGGGGAGCTGGTTTGTTGCAGCTGGTGGAAAATTTTGTGCAGAGAGGGCTCAAAGACCTCCCCTCATCTGAGGTGTGGAGTATCTACTCACATGGCATCATCTGAATGGTTTAGACAGAAGAAAAACGTCACTTTTTGATGCCATCTCCTAGAATCACTGAATTGATGTTGTGCAGGGGAACGGACAGTGGGAAGCTGAGATGAACCCAAAGCAAGATGCTTTGCAAGACAACAACCGAGGTCTGAGGGCAGAATATTCAAAGCCAGAAGACAAAATCAGATGCTGCTTTCTACTGTAGCAACAAGAGGTAGCAACCTGCTGAGACTGTCTTCCAAGGCAAACAGAAAAAGTTGCAGAGCCAAAACCAGAGGGGGAAAAATGAACTTACATGGTGATTAGAAGCAAGGGAAGATATAGACACCATTTAAACAACAGAATGATGCAGCACCCTTCTGCTAATGTGGTAACAGTCAATGAGGACAGTCCTTAATTACCGGGTGGCACCTAACACAGAATCACAGAGAATCATCGAGGCTGGAAAAGGACCTTGAAGCTCCTCCAGCCCAGCCATGACCCTCCCCCTGACCGTTCCCAACTCCCCCAGATCCCTCAGCGCTGGCTCAGCCCGACTCTTCAACCCCTCCAGGGATCCCGGGGACTCCCCCCTGCCCTGGGCAGCCCATTCCAACGCCCAACAGCCCCTTCTGCACAGAAATCCTTCCTCAGAGCCAGCCTGACCCTGCCCTGGGCATCTTGAGGCCATTCCCTCGGGGCCTGGCGCTGGGGCCTTGGCTCCAGAGACTCATCCCCCCTCTCTGCCCCCTCCTGGCAGGGAGTTGCCGAGGGCCAGGAGGTCTCCCCTCAGCCTCCTCTTCTCCAGACTGAACCCCCCAGTTCCCCCAGCCGCTCCCCAGCAGACCTGTGCTCCAGACCCTGCCCCAGCTCCGTTGCCCTTCTCTGGCCACGCTCGAGTCATTCAATGGCCTTTTTGGGGTGAGGGGCCCAGAACTGAACCCAGGAATCGAGGGGCGGCCTCCCCAGTGCCCAGCCCAGGGCTCAGATCCCGTCCCTGCTGGCCACGTTATTGCTGATATATCACTATATCCCAGATATCCATAAAAAAAAAATCTCATTCCAGCTTAAAATGTGACGGGGTTGAAACAGTGGTGTTCCATACTTCTGACTCAGCGCAGAAACTTCTTTATGGCACATACTTTGCTGCAAGCGCTCTCGGCCAGGCAGTCTGGCACTGGGCAGCATGAGCATTTAACTCCTTCAACATTACTTTGGGGCTGCGAATATTTGCTGCTATAATGCCTTTGTAAACGGCCTGAGTTTGCCAGACAGAAGGATTTTGCCACAGTGTTATGCTAGAATGAAGAACAGACCCCGACCGACCTGCTCATTCCACGCCCGCGGTGCAGGGGAAGATTTGGAAGTATGGAAGGTGTGATGGGTAAGAAGTTCACCCCTCCAGCAGTGGGGGAGGAAGAGGGGCTGTTAGTACAGGTGGGGAGATGGATGGAAAACCAGTCTCTGGGGGATAAAGCAATCTCTCAACCTGTCCTGCCCTGTGAGGACAGGCTGGGAGAGTTGGGGGGTTCAGCTGGAGAAGAGAAGGCTCCGGGGAGACCTTAGAGCGGCCCCCCAGGGCTGAAAGGGGCTGCAGGAACAGGGGGAGGGAATCGTTATCAGGGGGTGTAGGGATAGGATAGTGGTAAAAGTTTTAAACTGTCAGAGGGGAGATCTAGATGAGATCTAAGGCAGAAATTGTTCCCTGTGAGGGGGTGAGGCCCTGGCACAGGCTGCCCAGAGAAGCTGTGGCTGCCCCCTCCCTGGAAGGGTTCAAGGCCAGGTTGGACGGGGCTTTGGGCAACCTGGGCTGGTGGAAGGTGGCCCTGCCCGGGGCAGGGGGTTGGAACTGGATGATCTTTAGGTTCCCTTCCAACCCAAACCAGTCCGTGATTCTGTGGTAACACGAGGAAACCGTCCAGCCTCCTGTGACTCGGCCATCAGGTCCCTGAAAGCGAATGAAGGTCCTCTTGGGTCTCAGCGAACAGGGGGGCATTTCAGATGGCAAATGTGGCTTGGGCCAGGCGCTGATGTCAAACACTGGCTGCCTGTGACTGCTCCGGCCGTGGCTGAAGCCCTTTGCAACAGCCCTGACCTCACGGCGGATGACCCCCCGGGGAAAAAAAAAAACAATCACCCGCCTCACCTACCAACAACCACCCAGCCTCAAGACAGGGGCGGGGAAAGATAGGCCAGAGCCCCATCAAAAATACAAAAGCACCGTTCTGGCTTAGGAGAGGCTCCCATCCCCCTGCTGCCGGCAGAAGGAGGGACCACGCGTCCCCCCAGCCCCGCCGGACCCCCCCTCGCTGCAGCAGCGGGGCCGGGCGCTCCCTGCCATTGGCGGGAGGCCGGGAGAGCTTTAGCGGATCCTCCCCTTCCTCTCCCTCCCTAAGCGTTTTTGAGAGGTTTTTTCCCAACTTTCCAGAAGTTTCTCCCCGGCCCCTTATATACCCCCTCCGCGGGACCGCGAGGTGCATAGGGGAGCCG